GAGGCGGCGGTGGAGGCGGTGGAGGCGGTGGAGGCGGTGGCGGCGGTGGAGGCGGTGGAGGCGGGTGGCGGCGGTGGCGACGGTGGCGGCGGTGGTGGCGGTGGAGGCGGTGGAGGCGGTGGAGGCGGTGGAGGCGGTGGCGGCGGTGGAGGCGGGTGGCGGCGGTGGAGGCGGTGGAGGCGGTGGAGGCGGTGGAGGCGGTGGAGGCGGTGGAGGCGGTGACGGCACGTCGCGGGGGGAGGCTGCGCTTGGGTGCGGGGGGACGCCGCCGCCGCCGCCGTCGCCGCGGCGACCGCTGCGCCAGGCGGACATCGCGACCTACTTCGGCGGCCTGCAGCCCGCGGCTCGGAAGGCTGAGGCTGAGGCTGAGCGGTCGGGCGGAGCCGAGGGGGGACGCTTGGGGAGGGGTAGACGAGGAGGTGGACGGGGTGGACGAGGTGACGGAGGTGGACGTGGAATGAGTGGCGAGGTGACAGGAGACCTGGAGAGTGGACGGGGTAATGATCGTCGTCAGCGTCAACCTCATCGTCAATGTCGTCGTCGCCATCATCAGTAGCTCTGCGTCCACGAGTCTTACCGTGCGTGTGTGCGCGCCATGTGCCTGTGAAGACAAAGATCCCCCGTGTAGCCTTAGCAGGCTGCGGGGGCAAGTGCTGCCGTTAGCGAGTAGCAGCAGCAGCAGCAGCACCAATGAAGGTCTACCGGCACTGTGGCACACACAGAGGGGGTGCGTGTGGCCCAGCAGCAGCAGCAGCAGCAGCACCACGCCCGGCCGCCTTTGTCTCTCCCCAGTGGCGGCGGTGTTTACTACTTCACAACACGGCACCAGTTGACTCATTTGAGGCCGAGCCGACCTGCGGGAGGCCCGGGACCGGTTCAGATAATCGCCACCGGCGTTGGCCCGTGAGCGGTAACTGAACCCGGGTCGCCGACCGCCGCAGCTGCCGATCGGTGGTGCCGGACGGCAACGCTGTGGCGAGCGTGGGGGGGGGGGGGGGGGGGGGGGGAGGTAGGGCCGATTCCGATTGGCCCCTCCCCTCACCGGCGTTTGCAGCTGATGCGGCGGCCAGATGAAGGGGGGCTCTGGCCCGGCAGCCCCCCCCCCCCCCCGCCTCCACCTTTAAATGAATCGCGAATCAGTGACGATAAAAACAAAATTATCGGACGAAGCTCGTGCCTGGAGGCTCCGGGGGGGGGGGGGGACGGGCGTCTATGACGTCTCCTGGCCAAACCCCATTTGACGGAGCCAGGAGAACAATAAAATGATAAAATATATCATATATTATTTTATTGTTTTCCTTCAACATGACTTTAATATGAATTACTGCAGTCACGAAAGCTTTAAATCAAAATTTGGAGCCAGGAGATTGAATCTTTACCCTCGGGGCTCCTACAGAAACAGCACAAAAGGTACTGCGTGTGGCCACGTGGAGTGTTCGAACGGTCACTTGGAATGAGAGGCTGCCACTCCCCTGTCGGGAGCTGGACCGGTACCGCCTGGATCTCTGCGGTATTCGGGAGGTCCGGTGGACCGTCTCTGGCTCCTGCCACCATGAGGGGTGGACAGTCCTCTACTCGGGGCAGCAGACTGCCAAACAACAGGGAGTGTGGCTCTTCTTCTGAACAAAATAATGAAGGGGGCGTGGGAGCGTGGCAGTGAGGTGTGGGAAGCTGTAAGCCCCAGGCTACTTTGGGCTCGCCTTCCCATCAACCAGAGGCGAGGAGTGGTGGTCGTGGTTACTTATGCTCCTACCGAAGATGAACAGTGGAGGGACGCAGGCACGGCCGATGAGTCAGATGCCATCTATGACCTCCTGGCTAAAGTGGCCCCTCGGGATAGAGTCATCTTGTTGGGCGACTTCAAAGCACGAGTTGGTCATGATGCTGGCACCTGGTCTGGAGTGATTGGAAGGCATGGGTCAGATCAGCTCATTAACAACGGCGGGAGGCTGCTAGACTTTTGTGCAGCCCATGGGCTTGTAATTACCAACATGCTGTTCCGGCATCGGCGCATCCACACAACATCATGGATGCATGCCAGGTCCAAGCAAGAACATCTGCTGGACTACATAGTGACGGAACAGCGGATGCGGGCCCATGTCCTTGACACCAGGACCTACTGTGGAGCTGATCTACCATCTGACCATCGACTTGTCATCTGTAAGATGCGCTTGCCATTCTTCCACTCTGGTGGTGGGTGTACACCCAGGACCCCATTCAAACCCATAGTGGCCTGGTCTCAGCTAGCTGATGAAAGTTGCAAGCGAGAATTTCATCATCGCTTGCGGCTGGGATTGGCATCGTCCCCGACTCCTCCTGATGTCGAGGGTAAATGGGCGATGTTTAGGACTGTGACTCATGCAGCTGCAATGGCTGCTTTAGGTACGCGGTCCAGACCTCCCCAGAGACCCTGGCTGACAGAGGAGCTGTTCAGGCTGGCTGAGAAAAAGTAACAGGCCCACTCTAATCGTCTACAGCATCCCACGTCAGAGAATGAGGAGGCTTACCGCAGCCTTCGCTCGGAGGTTCGGAGAGCCGTGAGGTGCTGCAAGGATGGGTGGTGGTCGCGGGTTGCTTAGGAGATTGAGTCTGCCTCAATGGCCCGCAATCACAAATCTCTATTTAACTCCATCAAAAAAGTTACCTGCAGCGCCACACCTATTACCATCATTAGGGGAAAGAACGATGATTCAATCTCCGACCCCCAGGAACAGGTTTGCAGATTTCCTGAGCATTTCTGTGAGGTCCTGGGGGAGGGGGAATCCCTCAGCCTGGAAAACAACGTGGGACAAAGTGGGGATGACCCTGCTGAGGCTGCGGTGCCTCAAATATTGGAGGAAGTCACCCCCTGTGAGTGGCTGTCTGAGGTGTCATCTGTTGAGGAAGTACTGAAGGCGATCCAGAGTCTGAGACCAGGAAAGGCACCGGGCAGAGATGATCTCCCAAGCGAAATGCTGAGGGAGGGTGGCGTTTGTGCGCAGACTGCCCTATATGACATCATAACAACAGTCTGGACCACTGGACGGGTTCCGCAGGATTGGAAGGATGCCCTGGTGGTCCCCCTCTTTAAGAAGGGGGACCGCACAGACTGTAACAACTACAGGGGCATCTCACTCCTCAGTGTGCCGGGAAAGGTCCTGGCAAGGATTATTCAGCATCGCCTTGCCAGGCACGCTGAGGAGAGGCTTGCGGAGCCCCAATGCGGTTTCAGAAAAGGGCGGTCCTGCACAGATGCCATATTTTCTGTCCGTCTGCTACAGCAGAGGTGTAGGGAATTCCAACAAGGCCTACATCTCTGCTTTGTTGACCTGGTCAAGGCCTATGATACCATCAGTAGGCCTGGGCTCTGGGTCGTTCTTCGTGCTTTTGGAGTACCTGACCCTCTGCTCACGATCATTAAGGACCTTCATGATGGTGAGCGGGCCCGGGTAAAACTACGTGGCCGGGAGTCAGAGCCATTCCCTGTACACCTTGGGGTGCGACAGGGATGTCCTCTGGCTCCCACATTATTTAACGTCTATTTCGACCACGTAGTTCGTGAAGCCTTCAGTAGCTGTACCAGAATAATTTCCATCTGGTACAGATACAATGGGAGGCTGATCGATGCCCAGGTGCGGTCAAGGGATGGCTCCCATTTGGTCAACCACGTTATGTATGCCGACGATCTGGTAATTGCGGCCCACTCAGAGGAGGAGTTGGAGACGCTGCTGCTGAAACTGGAGCTTGCCACTAAGAGGTGGGGCCTTACCATCAGCCCCACCAAAACTAAGCACCTGCCTGGGTATTTTGTACCATCGGGCACTCCACCCCCACAACTCCCAATCGGTGATGGGGCCGTTGTGGAGAGAGTGGAGAGTTTCCCATACCTGGGCAGTGCGCTCATGACTGGCTCCAGTTTAACAGCAGAGGTCTCACTCCGAATCAGTCGAGCGGCAATATCTTTTCATCGGTTGTGTGACGCTGTGTGGAAGCTACCTGGTCTGTCGCTCCGCACTAAGCTTCAGGTCTTCTCGGCCACGGTCATTCCCTCCCTTCTCTACGCTTGCGAAACGTGGACCCCCCTAATGGAACATCTTCGCCGGTTAGAAACATTTAGGCTGGCCTGCCTACGATCAATCCTGGGTTTAACCAGGCTGGATTGTGTGAGGAGCTTACAAATCCTTGAAAGATCTGGGCACGGTTCCATCGGTGAGCTCCTCCGGCAGGCAAGGCTGCGTTGGCTGGGCCATGTAGCCTGCATGCCGAAACAGCTTTTGTTCAGCGGGATCGAGGGGTCTAAACGGGCGCGGCACGGGCTAGAGAAGAGATGGAGTGATGTGGTACAGGAGGACGTGGAGCTGAGTGGACTTGCCGATGACTGGTACCAGCGGTGTCAAGATCGGCCTCTGTGGAGGAGGCTCGTGAAGGATGCTACTGGGCAGTTGGAGGCAGTCGCCCTCCAACAACAACGGAGGGCGGAGGAGCGACGCTCACAACAGCGAGCGGAGCGCCGGGTGGCTAAAGCACAGCAGGTTGGCACAGTAGGGGGCACAGGTGGTGCATCAGCCAGTAATCTCAGTCAGTCGACCCGTGGCACCTGGGTCTGCCCCGTGACCTCCTGCCAGCGGGCGTTCGACACTTCACGTGGCCTCAGGGTGCACATAGCCTGGCACAAGCGTCGTGGTGACGTCACCGCCACTTAGTGGCGAATGGCGGTTGTTGTTGTATCTGTGTGTGTGTATCTGTGTGTATCTGTGTGTGTGTGTATCTGTGTGTGTATCTGTGTGTGTGTGTGTGTATCTGTGTGTGTATCTGTGTGTGTGTGTATCTGTGTGTGTATCTGTGTGTGTGTATCTGTGTGTGTGTATCTGCGTGTGTGTGTGTGTATCTGTTGTTGTTGTTGTGTGTAATGTTGAGTGCCATGCGTGGGCCAGCTTGGTCTTCCTTGTTCCCGCAGGGACCGCCGGGAGGGGGACGGGCCCCCGCGGGAGGGGTGGGGGCTGGCGGTGGGGGGGAGGGGGCCGGTGGCTGGGGGGGGGCTCTGAGCGGGAGTCGAACCCGGAGCCACGCAAGTGCCCTAGCTACAAACGTATCCCCGGTAGCGGTGACACTCACTCAGTCACTCACTCAGTCACTCACTCAGTCACTCACTCAGACACTCAGTCACTCACTCAGTCACTCAGTCACTCAGTCACTCAGTCACTCACTCACTCAGTCACTCAGTCAGTCAGTCAGTCACTCAGTCAGTCACTCACTCAGTCACTCACTCAGTCACTCAGTCAGTCACTCAGTCAGTCACTCACTCAGTCACTCACTCAGTCAGTCACTCACTCAGTCACTCAGTCACTCAGCGTGACACTCACTCAGTCACTCAGACACTCACTCAGTCACTCAGCGTGACACTCACTCAGTCACTCACTCAGACACTCACTCAGACACTCACTCAGTCACTCAGTCACTCACACACTCACACAGTCACTCACTCACTCAGTCACTCACTCAGTCACTCACTCACTCAGTCACTCAGTCACTCACTCAGACACTCACTCAGTCACTCACTCAGTCACTCAGTCACTCACTCAGTCACTCACTCACTTAGTCACTCAGTCACTCACTCACTCAGTCACTCAGTCAGTCACTCACTCAGTCACTCAGTCATTCACTCAGTCACTCACTCAGTCACTCAGTCATTCACTCAGTCACTCACTCAGCGTGATACTCACTCAGTCACTCAGTCACTCACTCAGACACTCACTCAGTCACTCACTCAGTCACTCAGTCACTCACACACTCACACAGTCACTCAGTCACTCAGCCACTCACTCACTCAGTCACTCACTCAGTCACTCACTCAGACACTCACTCAGACACTCACTCAGTCACTCAGTCACTCACACACTCACACAGTCACTCACTCACTCAGTCACTCACTCAGTCACTCACTCACTCAGTCACTCACTCAGACACTCACTCAGTCACTCACTCAGTCACTCAGTCACTCACTCAGTCACTCACTCACTTAGTCACTCAGTCACTCACTCACTCAGTCAGTCACTCAGTCAGTCACTCACTCAGTCACTCAGTCATTCACTCAGCCACTCACTCAGTCACTCAGTCATTCACTCAGTCACTCACTCAGTCACTCACTCAGTCACTCAGTCATTCACTCAGTCACTCACTCAGTCACTCACTCAGTCATTCACTCAGTCACTCACTCAGTGAGTCAGTCACTCAGTCACTCACTCAGACACTCACTCAGACACTCACTCAGTCACTCAGTCACTCACACACTCACACAGTCACTCACTCACTCAGTCACTCACTCACTCAGTCACTCAGTCACTCACTCAGACACTCACTCAGTCACTCACTCAGTCACTCAGTCACTCACTCAGTCACTCACTCACTCAGTCACTCAGTCACTCACTCAGTCACTCACTCACTCACTCAGTCAGTCACTCAGTCAGTCACTCACTCAGTCACTCAGTCATTCACTCAGTCACTCAGTCAGTCACTCAGTCATTCACTCAGTCACTCACTCACTTAGTCACTCACTCAGTCACTCAGTCACTCAGTCAGTCACTCACTCAGTCACTCACTCAGTCACACACTCAGTCAGTCACTCAGTCACTCACTCAGTCACTCAGTCACTCACTCAGTCACTCACTCAGTCACTCAGTCACTCAGTCACTCACTCAGACACTCAGTCACTCAGCCACTCACTCACTCAGTCACTCAGTCACTCACTCAGTCACTCACTCAGTCACTCACTCAGTCACTCAGTCACTCACTCAGTCACTCATTCAGTCACTCAGTCACTCACTCAGTCACTCAGTCACTCACTCAGTCACTCAGACATTCACTCAGTCACTCAGACACTCACTGAGTCACTCACTCAGTCACTCAGTCACTCACTCAGTCACTCAGTCACTCACTCAGTCACTCAGTCACTCACTCAGTCACTCAGTCACTCACTCAGTCACTCACTCAGTCACTCACTCAGTCACTCAGTCACTCAGTCAGTCACTCACTCAGACACTCACTCAGACACACACTCAGTCACTCACTCAGTCATTCAGTCACTCAGTCAGTCACTCAGTCACTCACTCAGTCACTCACTCAGTCACTCAGTCACACACTCACCCACTCACTCACTCACACACTCACCCACTCACTCAGTCACTCACTCAGTCACTCACTCAGTCACTCACACACTCAGTCACTCACTCAGTCACTCACTCACTCACTCAGTCAGTCACTCAGTCATTCAGTCACTCAGCCACTCACTCAGTCACTCACTCAGTCACTCACTCAGCGTGCCACCACAGGTACGGGCATCACAGTGGACGCGTTCAGCTACGGCTCTGTTGAAGGCTGCAGCCTTTACTTCCTCAGCCACTTCCACTCGGATCACTACCACGGACTCAGCCGCTCCTTCACTCACCACGTCTACTGCAATCAGGTGAGGCGCTCACCACCACCACCACCACGCTCACCACCACGCTCACCACCACCACGCTCACCACGCTCACCACCACCACAAGGCTCCCCACCACCACCACCCTCCCCACCACCACCACCACCCTCACCACCACCACCACCACGCTCACCACCACCACCACCACGCTCACCACGCTCACCACCACCACCCTCCCCACCACCACCACCACCACCACCACCACCCTCCCCACCACCACCAACACCACCACCACCACCACCACCCTCCCCACCACCACTACCACCACCAGCATGACCACGCTCACCACCACCACCACCACCACTCCGTTCCATCTCCACTTGGACGGTCTCATTGGGTGGTTCCCCACAGCCGACCCCCTCGTGACCCCACCTGTGACCCCCTGTGACCCCACCTGTGACCCCCTCGTGACCCCCCTCGTGACCCCACCTGTGACCCCACCTGTGACCCCCCTGTGACCCCCCTCGAGACCACCCCGGTGACCCCCCCCTGTGACCCCCTTCCCCTGTGACCCCCTTCCCCTGTGACCCGTGACCTCCTGTGACTGTGACCTGTGACCCTGCCCCCGTTACCGCCCCTGTGAGCCCCCTCCCCCGTGACCCCCCTGTGACCCTCCACCCCATGACCCCCCCCGTGACCTCCCATTGACCCCCAATGACACCTCGTGACCCCTCCCCCCGGTAACCCACCGTCACCCCGCCGTGACCCCGCCGTGACCCCCACATGACCCCCAATGACACCTCGTGACCCCTCCCCCGGTAACCCACCGTCACCCCGCCGTGACCCCACCGTGACCCCCCCATGACCCCCAATGACACCTCGTCACCCCTCCCCCCGGTAACCCACCGTCACCCCGTCGTGACCCCACCGTGACCCCCCCATGACCCCCAATGACACCTCGTGACCCCTCCCCCCGGGAACCCACCGTGACCCCGCCGTGACCCCACTGTGACCCCCCCATGACCCCCAATGACACCTCGTGACCCCTCCCCCCGTAACCCACCGTGACCCCGCCGTGACCCCACCGTGACCCCCCCGTGACCCCCCCACGACAGGTGACGGCTCGCCTCGTGGCGCTGCGTCTCTCCGTGTCGCCGTCCCTGCTCCACGTCCTGCCCATGGGCGTGGCCACCAGGGTGGGGGACAGCAAACTCACACTGCTGGACGCCAACCAGTAAGTGGGTGAGAGTATGTGTGAGTGTGTGAGTGTGTGTGTGTGAGTGTGTGTCAGTGTGTGTGAGTGTGTGAGTGGGTGGGGGACAGCAAACTCACACTGCTGGACGCCAACCAGTGAGTGGGTGTGTCAGTGTGTGGGTGTGTGTGTGTCAAACTCACCCTGCTGGACGCCAACCAGTGAGTGTGTGGGTGTGTGTCAAACTCACACTGCTGGACGCCAACCAGTGAGTATGAGTGTGTGAGTGTGTGTGTGGGGGACAGCAAACTCACACTGCTGGACGCCAACCAGTGAGTATGAGTGTGTGAGTGTGTGAGTGTGTGTCAGTGTGTGTGAGTGTGTGAGTGGGTGGGGGACAGCAAACTCACACTGCTGGACGCCAACCAGTGAGTATGTGTGTGTGTGAGTGTGTGTGGGTGTGTGAGAGTGTGTGAGAGTGTGTGAGAGTGTGTGTGAGTGTGTGTGGGGGACAGCAAACTCACACTGCTGGACGCCAACCAGTGAGTGGGTGAGAGTGTGAGAGAGTGAGTGAGTGAGAGTGTGAGAGAGAGAGTGTGAGTGGGTGTGAGTGTGAGAGTGTGTGTGTGTGGGTGAGTGTGTGTGTGGGGGACAGCAAACTCACACTGCTGGACGCCAACCAGTGAGTATGTGGGTGTGTGTGTGTGTGTGTGTGTGTGTGTGTGTGTGTGTGTGTGGGGGACAGCAAACTCACACTGCTGGACGCCAACCAGTAAGAGTGTGTGAGTGTGTGAGTGGGTGGGGGACAGCAAACTCACACTGCTGGACGCCAACCAGTAAGAGAGTGAGTGTGTGTGGGTGTGTGAGAGTGTGTGAGTGTGTGAGTGGGTGGGGACAGCAAACTCACACTGCTGGACGCCAACCAGTGAGTGTGTGAGTGTGTGTGTGTGAGAGTGTGTGAGTGTGTGTCAGTGTGTGTGAGTGTGTGAGTGGGTGGGGACAGCAAACTCACACTGCTGGACGCCAACCAGTAAGAGAGTGTGAGTGTGTGAGTGGGTGGGGGACAGCAAACTCACACTGCTGGACGCCAACCAGTGAGTATGTGTGTGTGAGAGGTGTGTGTGTGTGTGTGTGTCAAACTCACACTGCTGGACGCCAACCAGTGAGTGTAAGAGTGTGTGTGAGTGTGTGTGTGTGTCAAACTCACACTGCTGGACGCCAACCAGTGAGTGGGTGAGAGTGTGAGAGTGTGTGTGAGAGAGTGTGAGTGTGTGTGAGTGTGTGAGTGTGTGTCAGTGTGTGAGAGTGTGTGAGTGTGTGTGTGGGTGGGGGACAGCAAACTCACACTGCTGGACGCCAACCAGTGAGTGGGTGTGTCAGTGTGTGTGTGTGTGTGTCAAACTCACCCTGCTGGACGCCAACCAGTGAGTGGGTGTGTCAGTGTGTGTGTGTGTGTGTCAAACTCACCCTGCTGGACGCCAACCAGTAAGAGAGTGAGTGTGTGTGGGTGTGTGAGAGTGTGTCAAACTCACACTGCTGGACGCCAACCAGTAAGAGTGAGAGTGTGTGTGTGTGTGTGTCAAACTCACCCTGCTGGACGCCAACCAGTGAGTGGGTGTGTCAGTGTGTGTGTGTGTGTGTCAAACTCACCCTGCTGGACGCCAACCAGTAAGAGAGTGAGTGTGTGTGGGTGTGTGAGAGTGTGTCAAACTCACCCTGCTGGACGCCAACCAGTGAGTGGGTGTGTCAGTGTGTGGGTGTGTGTGTGTCAAACTCACACTGCTGGACGCCAACCAGTGAGTGTGTGGGTGTGTGTCAAACTCACACTGCTGGACGCCAACCAGTGAGTATGAGTGTGTGAGTGTGTGTGTGGGGGACAGCAAACTCACACTGCTGGACGCCAACCAGTGAGTATGAGTGTGTGAGTGTGTGAGTGTGTGTCAGTGTGTGTGAGTGTGTGAGTGGGTGGGGGACAGCAAACTCACACTGCTGGACGCCAACCAGTGAGTATGTGTGTGTGTGAGTGTGTGTGGGTGTGTGAGAGTGTGTGAGAGTGTGTGAGAGTGTGTGTGAGTGTGTGTGGGGGACAGCAAACTCACACTGCTGGACGCCAACCAGTGAGTGGGTGAGAGTGTGAGAGAGTGAGTGAGTGAGAGTGTGAGAGAGAGAGTGTGAGTGGGTGTGAGTGTGAGAGTGTGTGTGTGTGGGTGAGTGTGTGTGTGGGGGACAGCAAACTCACACTGCTGGACGCCAACCAGTGAGTATGTGGGTGTGTGTGTGTGGGTGTGTGTGTGTGTGAGTGTGTGTGTGTGGGGGACAGCAAACTCACACTGCTGGACGCCAACCAGTAAGAGTGTGTGAGTGTGTGAGTGGGTGGGGGACAGCAAACTCACACTGCTGGACGCCAACCAGTAAGAGAGTGAGTGTGTGTGGGTGTGTGAGAGTGTGTGAGTGTGTGAGTGGGTGGGGACAGCAAACTCACACTGCTGGACGCCAACCAGTGAGTGTGTGAGTGTGTGTGTGTGAGAGTGTGTGAGTGTGTGTCAGTGTGTGTGAGTGTGTGAGTGGGTGGGGACAGCAAACTCACACTGCTGGACGCCAACCAGTAAGAGAGTGTGAGTGTGTGAGTGGGTGGGGGACAGCAAACTCACACTGCTGGACGCCAACCAGTGAGTATGTGTGTGTGAGAGGTGTGTGTGTGTGTGTGTCAAACTCACACTGCTGGACGCCAACCAGTGAGTGTAAGAGTGTGTGTGAGTGTGTGTGTGTGTCAAACTCACACTGCTGGACGCCAACCAGTGAGTGGGTGAGAGTGTGAGAGTGTGTGTGAGAGAGTGTGAGTGTGTGTGAGTGTGTGAGTGTGTGTCAGTGTGTGAGAGTGTGTGAGTGTGTGTGTGGGTGGGGGACAGCAAACTCACACTGCTGGACGCCAACCAGTGAGTGGGTGTGTCAGTGTGTGTGTGTGTGTGTCAAACTCACCCTGCTGGACGCCAACCAGTGAGTGGGTGTGTCAGTGTGTGTGTGTGTGTGTGTCAAACTCACCCTGCTGGACGCCAACCAGTAAGAGAGTGAGTGTGTGTGGGTGTGTGAGAGTGTGTCAAACTCACACTGCTGGACGCCAACCAGTAAGAGTGAGAGTGTGTGTGTGTGTCAAACTCACCCTGCTGGACGCCAACCAGTGAGTGGGTGTGTCAGTGTGTGTGTGTGTGTGTCAAACTCACCCTGCTGGACGCCAACCAGTAAGAGAGTGAGTGTGTGTGGGTGTGTGAGAGTGTGTCAAACTCACCCTGCTGGACGCCAACCAGTGAGTGGGTGTGTCAGTGTGTGGGTGTGTGTGTGTCAAACTCACACTGCTGGACGCCAACCAGTGAGTGTGTGGGTGTGTGTCAAACTCACACTGCTGGACGCCAACCAGTGAGTATGAGTGTGTGAGTGTGTGTGTGGGGGACAGCAAACTCACACTGCTGGACGCCAACCAGTGAGTATGAGTGTGTGAGTGTGTGAGTGTGTGTCAGTGTGTGTGAGTGTGTGAGTGGGTGGGGGACAGCAAACTCACACTGCTGGACGCCAACCAGTGAGTATGTGTGTGTGTGAGTTGGTGTGGGTGTGTGAGAGTGTGTGAGAGTGTGTGAGAGTGTGTGTGAGTGTGTGTGGGGGACAGCAAACTCACACTGCTGGACGCCAACCAGTGAGTGGGTGAGAGTGTGAGAGAGTGAGTGAGTGAGAGTGTGAGAGAGAGAGTGTGAGTGGGTGTGAGTGTGAGAGTGTGTGTGTGTGGGTGAGTGTGTGTGTGGGGGACAGCAAACTCACACTGCTGGACGCCAACCAGTGAGTATGTGGGTGTGTGTGTGTGGGTGTGTGTGTGTGTGAGTGTGTGTGTGTGGGGGACAGCAAACTCACACTGCTGGACGCCAACCAGTAAGAGTGTGTGAGTGTGTGAGTGGGTGGGGGACAGCAAACTCACACTGCTGGACGCCAACCAGTAAGAGAGTGAGTGTGTGTGGGTGTGTGAGAGTGTGTGAGTGTGTGAGTGGGTGGGGACAGCAAACTCACACTGCTGGACGCCAACCAGTGAGTGTGTGAGTGTGTGTGTGTGAGAGTGTGTGAGTGTGTGTCAGTGTGTGTGAGTGTGTGAGTGGGTGGGGACAGCAAACTCACACTGCTGGACGCCAACCAGTAAGAGAGTGTGAGTGTGTGAGTGGGTGGGGGACAGCAAACTCACACTGCTGGACGCCAACCAGTGAGTATGTGTGTGTGAGAGGTGTGTGTGTGTGTGTGTGTCAAACTCACACTGCTGGACGCCAACCAGTGAGTGTAAGAGTGTGTGTGAGTGTGTGTGTGTGTCAAACTCACACTGCTGGACGCCAACCAGTGAGTGTGTGAGTGTGTGAGAGTGTGTGTGAGAGAGTGTGAGTGTGTGTGAGTGTGTGAGTGTGTGTCAGTGTGTGAGAGTGTGTGAGTGTGTGTGTGGGTGGGGGACAGCAAACTCACACTGCTGGACGCCAACCAGTGAGTGGGTGTGTCAGTGTGTGTGTGTGTGTGTCAAACTCACCCTGCTGGACGCCAACCAGTGAGTGGGTGTGTCAGTGTGTGTGTGTGTGTGTCAAACTCACCCTGCTGGACGCCAACCAGTAAGAGAGTGAGTGTGTGTGGGTGTGTGAGAGTGTGTCAAACTCACACTGCTGGACGCCAACCAGTAAGAGTGAGAGTGTGTGTGTGTGTGTGTCAAACTCACCCTGCTGGACGCCAACCAGTGAGTGGGTGTGTGTGTGTGTGTGTGTGTGTGTCAAACTCACCCTGCTGGACGCCAACCAGTAAGAGAGTGAGTGTGTGTGGGTGTGTGAGAGTGTGTCAAACTCACACTGCTGGACGCCAACCAGTAAGAGAGTGAGTGTGTGAGTGTGAGAGTGTGTGAGTGTGTGTCAGTGTGTGTGAGTGTGTGAGTGGGTGGGGGACAGCAAACTCACACTGCTGGACGCCAACCAGTGAGTGTGTGTGTGTGAGAGGTGTGTGTGTGAGTGTGTGTCAAACTCACCCTGCTG